GTTCTTAAGATTACTTCCTACTGTCTGGGTGTGACTGCATCTTTAGGGGATTCTGTAAAGAAATTGGGTTAATTGTGAAGTCCTGGAAGAGCTAGCTGTATCATTTGTTGTCCAATCTTTTCATAATGGGAAACAGCAGACATATTAGCCTGTGAGGCTGGATCATGTCAGCTGGTCATCCTGAAATTGTCCTGAGCAGTTTGCAGTCCAAATCCGATCTTTGGGTGGTGTTCATCAGCTTAGTGGCATTGTCATAGTTCTGCTTGAATCATTGCTTTGGGGCCTTGTCCTTCTTTTGGAGACTTCAGAGATCACATTAGATCATATTAAATTTTTTCCAGGTAGTTCTCTCTTCTTCTTTGGAGCTTATTTGTCCAAAGGTCTTTTAATTCTTCAAGATGATTCTATTATTTTCCTGGAAAGACAAAAACAAAATTCTGCCCAAGCCCTAACATGGGTGGTTACCTTTTGGCAAGTTATATCTGCTCAAATGAAGATCACTTTTTAGTGATATAAATTAGTTTAGATTGAACTGTCATGCTGTTTGATGAACTATCATCTCTGCTAATTAAGAGGATTTTCTTGTTCAAATCTAATCATTATCAATTTTTATTTATACTTTCACTTGAAATATTCATTTTGTTTTTGAAAGCTGTTTTATTATTGAGAGCAATATGATGTTTTTACAGTAGGCATTAGGTTTTTAATTGCTATGAGAGGGAGTTTCCTTCATGATGACAGGAAATGACTGAAGCCAATTTGACATGGGGGCTGTGAGATGCCCTTCAAGGCATTTCTGAATGGTGAAGGGTTACTTCAACTGTCCCTTATTGATTTGCATTCAATGGTGCAATGTCTGCCTTTGCCACTCCTTCTACATGGTCCAGCAGGGAGGGCTCTTCTGTTGAGATTATTCTTAGAAAAAAACATTTGATTGTAATGAATAACTACTAACTTGCATTTCTTTATATCCTACTTATTTGCTAATAATAACTTTCAAGGACTAGAAATTTGCATTGCATTGTTAAATGAGTTATAAGGGTACAATGCTGGAATCCTGCCTCACCTTCATGTGCCATGTTTTGTTCAAACCAGTGGGAGGATAGATGGGAAGTAAGAGGGTAGGAGGAGAGTAGAAGGGGAAACTGCAGTGGGTAGGAAAAAAAATTAAAAAGTTATACCAATAAAATAAAATAAAATAAAATAAAATAAAATAAAATAAAATGACGGGCTTCTTATCCCATTGGTCATCATAGGATTGCATGGAGCACATCATACTTCTTTCTATCTGCACTGAACAGACTAATATCTGAGTCATAAACACATTTGGTTTTGTTAAATCTCTTAAATTTAAAACAGGTTTAGAAAAGATCACCTATTGTGACATGTACTTATTAGTTGTAAATAAATGGATGGATTGACCACAGATTTCTCATTTGATTTGGGTTATTGAAAACTACTAGTTATGAAAATCAAGTCCAGATATGAGTCACTAGTTGTTAGTATAGATTCACTCTTAATTTTAAGACCTGAATAAGTTTCAATATTTTGCCAAAAATCCTTTGATAAGGGACTTCACTATAATGAAAATCAAGTACTGTGAATGTTTTCCCCACATCAATAATCATAGTTAGATATTATGGTCCCCAAATGATAAATGTAAAACCCGAGTCTCAGAAAATTACCCTGGAGCATACACATAGAAACATCAGACCCGGGAATCTCGCTTAGGTTCTCAACACTTAGATAAGACTGGGTTGTACTGTGTTGGCTCTATCATGCTCATGCTCTGCCATGTGCAGGAAGAAGTTTCTGTGCCAGTAGTGAACTCCCTAAAAACCAGATGGAGACTTACTAATTATGAAACCTCAGCAGATAGCTTAAGTTTGTTTCTAAGTAGTTCCCATAGCTTAAATTTACCCATATTTTTAAATCTACTTTCTTTTAAATGGCTTTAGTTTCCCTTATTCTCTGCTCCCTATCCTACTTTCTCTCTGTCTAGATGGTGACTGTGCCCTTCTTCCCAGTGTTCTCCCAGTCTGGTTCTACTGCCTAACCTATTCCTGCCTAGCTATTAGACAGTTTGCTTTTTATTAAACCAATGAGAGTAACATCTTCAGAGTGTACAAAAGATTATGTCACGGCAGTGATGCATAAGTTGGGATCATTTATCAACATTTCTTTATGCAATGGCATTTTGTAAATTAAGTACTTACTAAGGCTTATATGTCTGCTTCTAGGAGATACATTAGTTGACTGACCCTCAAATCAGTATAATATAGGACAAGAAGACAATCTGTTTCAGCTTTTGTTTTTCATTTAACAAACACATTTTATCATATATCAAAACAAAGAAAATGCAGAAGAGAATATATGGGGTAGTGTCCCAGTTATTTATTTATTTATTTTTGATAGTTTGAAATAAGATTGGTCATTTGAGCCTATCAATTATGAATATGCATCCACACAAATTGCCTGGAGGCAATCTGTTGGGAATTTTCTTGTTTCAAGGTTAATGGGGGGAAGGCCTAGACCTCTGTGAGTAGTTTCACTTCTTGCCAGGTCATCATAAATTGCAGAGTAATGCAGGCTGACCAAGCCATTAAGAACATTCAAGTATGTGGTGAAACTTCATTGCATCTGCTTCAGTTCTTTCACCCATGTTCCTGCCTTGGCTTCCCTCAATAGATTGTGACCTGGGATATTTAAGATATGTTAGCCAAATAAACCCTTTACCTCAATTCGCTTTTGATGATGGGGTTTTATCACAGCAACAAAAAAACGAATTTAAGATTTTTAGTGTGTACAAAGGTTGTGAGAACCTTTCTGGTAAGCATGAGCATTCATCTCTTGACTCTAGCAGTTAGGACACCAATGACAGATCCAATAAATGTTCCAGACAGGTCTAAGTTATTGAAAAAAGAAGGTTATTATGATTACTTACAGGATCATGGTGTTATGGGTGTGGGGTCACTCAGAGATTCACCTCTCTGATCATTAATAAATTTTAAGAAAGCAAAGGCATTTATTCACATACTGACACCAGATATATACTTGAGACTGGGGGCTCTCAAAGGCAGCCCCAAGATACCTCAATCGGGATTTTAAAGGCAGAGTACCTAACATTACACTCTATCTTCAGGCAAACAGAAGGTCATCTGGCACAAAGCGAACTTTAATTTACAGAAACATGCATAGAAGTTTTGTTAAAGCTGTTCAAGACTAGGCAATTACAAAAATGAACCCTTAGCAGGCTTTAACATTTCAAGTCTAATTTCACTTTATAGTTTGATTTCTCTCCAAAGGAAAAGCAAGAACCATAGCATTTAAATATAGGAAATCCACATTCAGATCCATTTCAGAACAATGACAGATGGCACCAAAGTTAGATAATTCTATCCTTTGATTTCAGCAATTGTTTCACTGTGTCTATTCATATTTTGCTTCCAAAAGGGCTGTGGTCTTTACAGAAGAATTCCTGATATCTTTCTTTGAGAACTCATAGGGTACCAACAATCTTTGATCTCAGCTTGTAATTTCAAAACTCCCATGAACACCCTGATACATGTGGAGGCTTCCTTGGGCTGTGAGGAACTGGTCATGATAAATTGCTGTTTGAAGATCCACTGATCAAATTCTGTGCATGTCACATTCTGCATTTATTTTCCTTCAGGGTCCTAAAAAGAGGCAAATGTTGAGTGATTTTATATGAACATATTCTTGTGCAGTATGAGGGGATGTAGGATACCCTTCATGGGGAAGTGTGAGTTCATGAGGACCTATCTCTTCCAGATTCTTTTCACTTCAGACCCTTGGTCATTGATGCTGCATTTTTAGAGGACAGGAGTGATTAATAACACCTAAGAAAGCACTGTGCATGCTCATTTCAAATACCAATTTATTAATGAGAGATATGGTAAAACCCAAGGTTTCTATTCTCCCACACATGAGAACCAGATGTTCTGTATCTCTATGTTCCAGCCCCATCTCTTTCTTGCTCTTTGCTCCTAGTTATCTCTTTAGTGCTCTCTCTTTCATAAAACCTTCTTCTAGATATTAGTCTGCTTTGAATGTGAATATACCGTGGAGAATTAATCACTGCTCTGAGAGCTGAGGGAAAGAACAAGGGCTCAGCTGTTCCCTCTGCAAAGACCCACATCATTGTCCCTGTCCTAGGCCAAGTAAATGAAGATCACACACCTGTATTCCTCCAGGTTCAGTTTCTCATGCTACTCAGATGACACTCACTGCCTTCTTCTTGACGTACATTTCTTTTTGCATGGCACCAAGAATGGATGAGGAAAATGAGCACGAAAACCATCATGTAGAATGACAGTCTAATCAGAATATACAGGAGCCCATGATTATCTGATGGAACATATGAATGCAATAAATATGATGACAATCATAAGATCCCTGTAATAGATTGCCTAGCATTTATTGATAGATGGATAACTAATAGATTATTAATCTTTAGGACAAGATTCCTGATGAAGAAACTACTATTCTCATTCTGCTAAATGCACACAGTATTAAACTGGCTCCTATGACTTCGATTTGGATCCCTATATTAATGCATCTCTCAAACCTCAGCAGGGAAGTTTATATTTGCAATATATGGTGATCAATACAGGTACCCACAATAGCCAAAGTGCAGTGCAACATGAATCTTAAATAATCTTATTAATAAAAAGCAAACCTGGAGTCAGGTATTGGGGTGAATGCTGGAAGATCAGAGAAGCAGAACAAGCCACAGCTTCCTCACCTTGCCAATTCCTCAGCTGATCTTGTTTCCTCAGACTGGAAGTTTCTGAGTCCTCATCCAAATGAATCTCAGCTGAACTGCTGCTCAAAGTCTACAAGCTTAACCAGCTCTAGTTCCTGGTCCTCACGCCTTATATGCCTTTCTGCTTTCTCCCATCACTTCCTGGGATTAAAAGCTGTTACCACTCCTGTCTGTTTCCAGTGTGGCCTTGAACTCACAGAGATCCAGTCAGATCCCTGCCTCCAGAATGCCAGGATTAAAGGTATGTGTGCCACCATTTTCTGGCCTCTGTATCTAGTGGTTGTTCCTTTCTCTGACCCCAGATGAGTTTATTAAGGTGCACAATATTTGGGGAACAAAATATCACTACAGTGCAGAGCATAAAGGACTGTGCCTTGGCGCTAAATATGACATTTACATGACATCTAATTCTACAAACAATCAGTCTTACTTGTGAAAATGATGGACCAAAAATGACTGAATGAGGTTTATGATAATGAAAATGAAATAGTATCTACTGGATACAAGAAGGAATTTGCACATATGAATTCAAATGCAGTTGTGACAGCATGCACAAGAACAGTTCATGTGCAATATAGACTAAATCCTAGCATGCACTGAGGCTGTGGACATGAAGTCCCACCCTTAGACAATAGGCTATAAGCAAATGATAACTGTTGGGAGAGTCAGTTTCAAGAGAGTTGTGAAAAGTAAGTGGACCATGCTCCAATGAGAGGTCACACATTCATGAATATATGGACATCACAAATTGAACTTCATGGACAAAAGAGATAACAGCTGGGTTGTGTAGGTTCAACAGGATTTGAGTAAGGAGGTGTATATGATTAAAGCCTATTGGTTGAAATTCTCAAAAAAACTAATGCAAATCAATTAATAAGAAATAGGGTTATAGTTGGCATATGTCCTATGACTGTTTTCTCATTTTCTCACATGAAATTCTAAGAATAAATATAACATGTGCTCTATATGGTATGAATGGAGGTAAGGAGGAACATTCCAGAATATCCTGTGCTCTGTTTCTGCCCACACTACAAATGCCATATAGTTTAGCTGCATGTTCCTATGGCTTCAGTGTATAAAATCCAAGATGGGCTGTCTTTCATCTTCCATGAAACACTGTGCAGAAGGAAAGTATTGATGCAATGCATTGTCATTTGCAAAGTTCCTTGACCAATAGACTCCAATAACTTGAAACCTCAATTTTTATCTCTTAAAGCTTACTTCTAAGTAATTCTATTTCATGTGAATTGTGCATAACTTTTCCATCTCATCACCCCTATGCCACTGACAGAAAAATGGCAGGACACAATGTAAAGGTCCCGTGTTCAGTGTCTTAACTGAGATTCATATCAATGTACATTGAATCTCCTGTGGAAATAATATATCTACAACACCACGGAACCAAAATTAACTTCTCCCAAAGGAAAAAGTGAAGTCAAGGCTATTCTGACAGAAATAGTATTTTTTTTTGGGGGGGGGGAGGTTTCGAGACAGGGTTACTCTGTGTAGCTTTGCGCCTTTCCTGGAACTCACTTGGTAGCCCAGGCTGGCCTCGAACTCATATAGATCTGCCTGCCTCTGCCTCCCGAGTGCTGGGATTAAAGGCGTGCGCCACCACTGCCTGGCACCAGAAATAGTATTTTATGTAAAATCTTCCCTTCTGCTCACTTGTTTCCACCTTCAGTCCCCATCACCTCCTCTTCGGGAGGTAGTAATGTTCTACAAGCTTCCTACCTATTTCAGACCAGATCATTCCTCTTCTGAACTATAGAGAAGAATTATCACTTCACTTTTATTTCGAAGAGAGACAAATTTCCCCTTCTGTTCACTTACAGGGGACTGAGGTGAAGACATTAGGGATTGAGAGTCCCCATGGATTCCATGGTGCCAGTGAATAATTTCTGATTTTGCTGAGTTTGAGAGTCAGAGAAGAGAAGTGACTAGGCAAACTTTACAGAACTGTGAGGCAGCTGACACAGCACATGGCCCCAAGAGATTTACAGTATTACATGAAAAGAGATATAATTTATTCACTAGTTTTGGAGTCTCGCTCTCTGCAGGAAGAACAATTTTTGGATGAGTTTACTATGTAATGGGAACAGGAGGTAGATAGATATATAGGTAGGTAGATAGAAAGATAGATAGATAGATAGATAGATAGATAGATAGATAGATAGATAGATAGATAGATAGACAGATAGAGAGAGGTGGTTAATGATGCTGTCTGTCTTCCTCTTATGGAAAGTCCTTTCAGGTTGGTCAGTGACCAGCACCCACTTCACCCTTAGTTCTGATTGTCAGTGTCATAGGAGGCCTTCATATGGTTTGTTTAGAGGCTGATACTCTGTCCTCGGATTTCAAGATGTGATGAGACAATAGGAATACTGTAGAGAGATCTAAGTGATAGAGATATCAGGAGGGATGCTCCATCTCTGCTCTACCCAACCCATCCCAATCTCATCCATTGTGAGTCTTTCCTGACCACTTTCTATATCTGTATGTGCATAAGATATCCTGGTGTGTCTGGCCAAGCAAGGTCAGGACTGTTTGGGATGCTCCTGGTCTATTATTTTGTAGTCTGATATCCTTACTCAAACTTCATCTGCTTTTATTAAAAAAAGTTTTTAATTGATATAAAATTATATCTCTTCACTCTCCCTTGCATCTTTCCAGCACATCCCAGGTATCCTTACTCCAAGTTTTCATATTACCCACCACTCTTAAGATGTTATTCTCTTTTTCTTTGATTGATTATGTGTTATAGTATTTATATCTTGATATATTGTAATGTTTATATATAATGCATATATCTTGCTGAGAATTTCATTTTAATACACACCACACACACACACAAACACACACACATATATGGAATAAACACATATGTACTTATATACATATATATGAATAACTACAGGAAAGTGTCTCTGGACACAGTATGGCAGACACATATATGAACTCCACAAGAGGTTGTGACTGCATTTCCATGACCAGTGCAAGCTCAAGTTAGAGAAAATCCTAGCATGGGGACTGTAGATGAACATGAAGTCCCACCCCTTGCCAAGGTACTATAGACAATTGGTAATTATTCAGAGGAGAGTCAGTGTTAGGAGTGTTGTTACTCATAAATTGAGTATGGCCCAGCAGAAAATGACACATCCAAAGATATATTTTCATTGTGTCATTGGCAGAAACCTGCAGGACCCTATGTGTAAATCACGTGTTCAGTTTCTCCATCTGAGATTGACACCAGTGCTCAGCTAAGCTGCTTTGCAACTTCTACTTCTACAACACTTTGAACTAGACATTGAATTCTCTTGTAGGGAAAAATGGAAGTCAATGCTATTCTGTCAGAAATAGTATTTTTATATAAAAATCCTCCCTTCTGCTCACTTGTTTCCTTCTTCAGGCTCCATCACCTCCACTCCAAGAGGAACAGACCTAGAATGAGAACTTTATTGATCCTGGGAAGGGAGAAAATTTACTCTCCTTTTCACTCACCAAGGTCTCAGGTACAGAAATTAGAGATGAATAGTCATTAAATTTCCCATACTGCTCCTAAATAACATCTCATGTTAAAGGGTTCAAGAATCAGAGAGAGGAGATGATGATGACAAGAATACAGAGTCAAGATGGAGTTGAAATCAAAATAAACCAAAGAGCTTTGGGTCTCTAAGTTTCCACAATAGAGAAGAGGAATCAGTTACTCACTAGTTTTGGAGTCTGCTTCTGTGCAACTGTGAAGTTAACTAGAGAAGTTGAGTTAACCAGAGAAGGGGACAAGAGAGGGAGAATGTTCATCAGAGGCTGTCTGCCTTCCCCTTAAGGAAAGTTTTGTAAATTTGGACAGTGACCACCACCCACTCCACCTCTTAGTGCTGAGCCTGTAGAGTTATAGGATGACTTTTAGTGGATTGCTTCTGGGTGTTGTCTTTCTCCTTGGATTTCAAGTTGTGATGATTCAAGAGGAATGCTGTGGTGAGATCTGTGTGAGCAAGAGTTCAGGGGGCTGCTCCATCTCAGATCTTCCCATAATGATATGAACCTCATTCTTTTTTTTATGATAATCTTTTTTTTATTATTATTATTATTATTTTACAACACCATTCAGTTCAACATAATAGCCACAGAATCCCCTGTTCTCCCCCTCTCGCCCACCCCTCCCCCCA